CACAAAACCCACCAGAGCCGACGCCGTGGATGGGATACAACAGCAAAGGGACCCCTCAGATCCCCCTCACTTCTCCTCAGGGAGAGCCTTCACCTTCCCTCAGGGACCAAACTGCATTCCCTAAACAGTCCCATAAAAACATACACCCTCACAGATTGCATTTCTTACACGTTTGGCAAAATTGAAGGGGTTTTTTATCCCTAGAGGCCCCAGCTAGTACATCCCTGGACACACAGATAGTTCTGCCAAAATCACTCTTTTCAGAGTCATTTTGAACTAGCAAAGGTTTTAAGCCCCAGTTATTATATCCCTGATATTATTACAGCCCTGATATTACTACATCCCTGATATCATTATACTGCTGATATCACATATCTGATATTACTCTATGTCTGATAGCATTAAACGCCTGATTATACAGGTATTTACGTTGGAATATGGAATATCCCACACTAGGTGAAACCAGCCTTGTGTAACCCACTGATAACGTGGATTTTGGCCATTCTCCAGCAGGAAACAGGTACAATCCTATCTTTATGGCAACATTTGGGATCTTATAAAGATATTGACACAAAAAACACGGAGAAATTTGAACTGTCACGAGGCCAAAATTGTCTCGGTGCCTGGGAAGTGGAAAGAAAACAGAAACTCAGGTTGTGGCAATAAAACCCAGTTGGATTAGCACAAGATTTAAACCCCCAAACAACCCTGTGTTGTTGGTAGCAACACTCCCAGCTCGCCAACCACTTGCAGGTTTTCAGAACTGACATTTTCTTATCGGTGAAGAGGTTGTGTTAAATAAATAACTAAACATGCCTTCCACGCTGTCTCGTGGAGGTCCATGCTCTGAATGTCCCAGCTCACACCTGAGCAGCATCTCTGACTTAGAGGAGCATAAACAGACCAACAAAGCAGGATTCACGGAAGAAATATTTTAAAATACGTGCGTTCTCCTCGCTCTTTTCATCACAGATAAACACGGATTCTTCCAGTTTGGATTCCAACAGAAATTCCTGTCATCCCTCACCCACACCAAACCCAGAGTGCAATCTCCTCCCAGAAAGCAGTTTCTTATCCCCATGGAAATCCAACACGGTGGTGTCCGTGGAAAAAGGGGAGGGAAGGGAGAGCAGCAGGGTGATGAATAGCTAAGGATGACAAACACAGCTCCCCAGAGCCTCCCACTGCACTCCAGCGAGGGGTTAACGTGGGTCTGTTCCACAAAATCCACAGCACAAAATCAGCACGATCACATAGAATGACACTTCAGAATAAGGCAGCTCATTTCTTGCAGCCCACTGGACTATATTAATTAAAAATTATTTAATTAAGAGCTTTAATTTAATAAAATTATAAATAAAGACCACAAATCAAGAATGTAATCTATTGCAACCTGCTACACTGCAAACCCCACCTGTCCATGCAGTGTTAATTGTTATGCAATGCTGGATCAATTGTTCTGTCTGGACAACCACAACAGAGGAAAATGAATTAATTAAAAATTTTAAAGAATACAGCGACATACATAGAGCCACGATTAAAACCCCCCTTGATTTACAGTGAAATAATCACAAAAATGGAATAAAACCAGAAATAAAGTGTCCAGATGCAATAGAATAAAATGTAACTATCAACAACCAGAACTAAACCACCCAAAGCAAACAAAAATATCCATTTAACTCTTAGCACCCAATTCTGGCGAGGAAATGGCCCATGAATGACTAAAGTTGAGCTGAGAAATGCCAATTAGCAACAGAAGAGTGTCTTCCCATTCCTCCCTCGTCCGACTGCTCCAGGTTCAGGGACCGAGTCCCGCTATTCCCACGTCACCTGGTTGCTAAAAACACTCCCCTAGAGGGGCACAAAACTGATCCTTGAAATTCTGCACCGAGAGCTCTCCCCAACTCCTTACGAACACCTCAGAACCCACACCACTCGGAACGAACGGCATTTCCCGAAGGAACGTCTCAGGTATCGCGACCTGCGAGAGCACCGGCACACAACTAACCCGGCACACAACCCGGCACACGACTAACCCGTGCCAGGGTTTCCATGCACAGAAAACACAATCCAACCCCCGACATCCCCAGGATATTTCAACTCAGGGCTTTGGGAGACAGAGGAAAAAGAAGAACTACCTCTTCCCTTCTCCTGTTTGCCTATGGTGCCGCCAGGCTTTCAGAAAGAACTTCCTTTTGAGGAAATACCACATCTTAATTCCCAAAGAATTCAGAGCACAGAGCTCGGCCCCGGCAAACGCGACTGCAGCCCCTGCGAGCACCGAAACGCCCCTTTTGTCTGAAGCAGATCAATATCTGCCCTTTTCACATCAGTGATGACAAACTACGGGAGCAAATCAAGCCTGTCCTGCTGCCAGATGGGCCAAAAAGCAGCCAGGGAGTCATTCCACATGAGCTGCCACAGCCCAGCTATTTATAACTCCCGAAAGCAGCGGATTTCTGCAGGAAAGGGAACTCTCAAGTGGAAAATGGAGCGACCACAAGCAAAGTTCTTCCTGTTTATACTTCTCGGTCTCCACTGGGTTGGTAAATTTATCTCTGTCGTTTCCACGAGTGCCAGAATTTCAGTTTTCTTCCCCAACATACAATGAAACAAGGAGTTGCTGTTATTTTACACATGTATGCTATTTAATGTGTTCATCTGATAGAATAACCTGGTGACTCTCTGAACTGCTCTGTTTAAGGTTGGGATTTAGGCAGACTTAATAGTCTGGGATCAGTCCCTATTTGAGTAAAGCCATTAAACTGATTTTTTAAGTGCAAGATATTAAATGCTGAATCCAAGACTCACCTAAACACCTTTATCAAGCCAAGTTGCTTACACTGAAACCCATAATAATGATTTTTACAGCCAGAAAATCCCCCAAACAGAATAAATCTATGGGAGGAAGAGGTGAAACATAAGTAAATCCACCACTGTCACACCAGAGCAGGGCAACAGCAAGAGCTGCTCTTCCCAAACACTTTTATTGCCATTAAATAAGGAATTAACATTAGGAAAAAATAATGCAAAATAGCATTAAATAATATAAACCAGTTATGAATGGGCTGTTTACACATTTTCTAAAAATCTGATTATTCTAACTTTAATTACAAATTATACTTTCTATTTATTACTCGGGCACAGAGAAAAAGGACTAAGGGGGGAAGACAATTAAAACACTGCTCTGGCTATGCAGTAGGTTTCAAAGCAAGGCAGAGGATGAGATAATAATAATCTAGGACTCCAAACTACAGTTAATTGACCCCTTGGAAGCCGCTCCCAGGTTCTCCTGGTGCCTCACGTGCTGACACACCAAACCAGTCCAGAAGGACAGTTATCCCCAGCAGCTGCATAACCCTAAATCCTACCCTGGGTGCCAACAGGGCTGGTACAGGAAGGGCAATAAAACAGAGAGGCTGCGAGGCCACAACAAACCAGCACTAAAGGGAATTTCAGCCCCCACGGAGCATTAACTCCGTGTGAGCAGCCTCTCCTCAGGCCATGCTCCACTAACAGGGGCACAGACCCCATCCACGATGAACCTGGGGCTTGTTTTGGGGTGACACTTGCTGAAATCCGGAGTCCAATCCTGCCCCTGTAATGGGGCTGCTCCCTGGGGCTATGGGCACCTGGAGAACTGTATCCCTGGAGAACTGGGCACCTGGATACCTGTGTCCCTGGAGAACCGTGTCCCCGGGCACCTGGACGCTTGGATACCCAGGTCCCTGGGCACTCAGGCACCCGGATACCCGGGGCTCTGGGCATCCGAGCACCTGGGTCCTGCATTGCCCAGGCACCTGGACACCTGGACACCCGAGTCTCCGTGTCCACGGACACCTGCACACCCGAGTCTCCGTGTCCCCGGACACCTGGATACCTGGACACCCGAGTCTCCGTGTTCCTGGGCTCCCGTGCACGCCGTTCCCGGTATCCCCGCGCTCCGGCACCGCCCGGTGCCGCAGAACCCCCGGCCCCCACAGGCTCCGCGCCGGGGGCTGGCCCGGCCCCTCCCGGTGTAGCTGCCTCGTTCTCCCGGCCCGGCCCGCTCCGTGCCCCGCTGTCCCGCTCTCACTGGCCCGGCCCGCTCCGTGCCCCGCTCTCACCGGCCCCCGTTCCGTGCCCCGCTCTCACCGGCCCCCGCTCCGTGCCTGCCACGCTCTCACCGGCCCGGCCCGCTCCGTGCCCCGCTCTCACCGGCTCCCGTTCCGTGCCCCGCTCTCACCGGCCCCCGCTCCGTGCCCCGCTCTCACCGGCCCCCGTTCCGAGTCCCGCTCTCACCGCTCCCGCTCCGTGCCCCGCTCTCACCGCTCCCGTTCCGAGTCCCGCTGGCCCGGCCCGGAGCCGCGGCCCCGGCCGGCTCACACCGCCGGCTCTTACGGCACTGCCGCAAAGCGCGGCCGCCGCGCCTCACGGCAGCCCGGTCACCGCGGGAACGGCCGGCCCGCGCTCGGCGCTCTCAGGGAGACGGGAATTACTGACTTAATTACTTACTTAACTAACGGTTACTGAAGGGCCTTAGAGTTGTAAGAGCTGGGAGCAGGGCTCGTCGTTTTCAGCAGGAAAAGTGCCGTTATGAGACATCCCGAAGTGACACTTACATGTTATCAGGTAAATAATAACGTTATTATGCCTGTATTAAAAACCCCACTATCAGAACACTTAAAAAAAAAAAGAATTACGTAATTTCCGCCTACAAAAGAGCAGCGTCACTCCGGAACGTCACAAAGAAAAAAAAAAGTAGCGAATAGCAAACTACGACAATTTATATGTCGGCAGAGCTCCCCGCCCACAGCTCCCGCTCTGCCCGCACCCAAAATGGCCGAAGGGCCTTCGCGCCCCTACCCAAAATGGCGGCCGGCAGCTCCGCCCTCCCCTCGGTGCCCTGCCCAAGATGGCGGCGCCGCCGCCCCGGTCCCCCAAGATGGCGGCGGAGGGCGGCGGCCGGGCGGAGCGGCCGCGCCTGCGCCCGTGGCCGTGGCCGTGCGAGCCCCGCGCCAGCGGTGCATGCCGGGCGCCCTGCCCGCCGTGACGCTGCACATCGCACCGGCGCCGCCAGCCGCGCCATGGCGGGCGTCAAGGTGATCGCCAACGACACCGAGTTCCAGCCCGAGCTGAGCGCCGCCGGCTCCCGCCTGGCCGTGGTGAAGTTCACCATGAGGGGGTGAGTGAGGGGGCCCCGCGCTGCCGCCTCAGCCGCCCGGCGCGCACCCGCGCTCCGCTGTGCCCGTGTTTGCGTTATTTATTCCTGGCCCGGTTGGGCTTTTCGCGGCGCTCTGTGACACAGATGCGGGTGTAGGCGCAGCATCAGCGCCGTGGTTCTATTCCTGCGGTACAGCCTCCTCTTCCCGCCCAGCCCGCTCCCCTGCCCCTGCCAGCCCTCGGATCCGGGTCCAAAACCCCGATCCGGGTCAGGGGGCTGCACAGACCACAATAAAACATCCCAAACTTCTCCAAACATCTGCCCTCGCAAAACTTCGCCCTATCCTCGCGCTGTTTGCCGAGGAAAGGTAGATGCTCTTTCCCTCCTCAGCAGGGGTTTGAGGTACAGCTGCGGTGAGGTCTGGACGAATTCGTGACCAGAGAAACCTCAGCGATTGAATTATTCACATTAATCTACGAATAGTGATGATCTCAGGGGGTTTGGGGCTTCAGAGTGCACCTCGTTATTGTCTGGTTGCTGCTGCTGAATTCGGTTTTTTGTTTTAGCTAATTTTCTACTTTTGAGCGGTTTTGCTTTTAATGTCTTCTTTCCCTGTGAGAATATCTCTCTGCAGGAATAGCTGCAGCTGGACACTTCCTACATTTTTGCCGGCACAGAATAATTAAAACTGACATATTTTCAGCCAAGGTGATGGAGTTAAATGAGCAGAAAACAGGGCCATATTAATAACAATGTAACCAGTTATTCCCATAAATGAATATGGGGATAACCAGTTACAGGTATAAATGAGATTTATTGTTGTAAGCATTTCACGATCCCTGAAACTTTGATACATTATCACCATTAAATATTTAAGTCATATGTAAATGCTATTTTTCCATGGGAATTGATGTGGAGCAATGATACAATTTTTCTAATAATAGTGGTTTTTTCTGCTTTTACCATCCTTTATATCACTTTATTGAGCAGTTGAAAATGCTGCAGTTAAGTTGCAGATATGAGTTAGTATTAATTAATAGGTGAAGCCGCTCACGTGACATGGAAGCTGGGAATTAACTCCTCATCCTTAATTGTATCACCAGCTGGCAGCCAGGTAGAGGGGTTATTTTTGCACCAGGATATCGGGAAGAGCGGGAATGTGCTGATTCCGTTTGGGGCAGGCATTTAAAAAGAAAATTAAAGTGGAATTAAAGGGAAGTATTTTTTTCACAGATGTGGCCCTTGCTTAAGGATAGCTCCAGCCTTCAATGCCCTGAGTAACAAATACCCCCAGGCCACGTTTTTGGAAGTGGATGTGCATCAATGCCAGGTTGGTATGAAAAAAAAACACTTTTAGCTGGAAGAGAGAGAGCAGAGAATGGGGAGTTTGAAGGCAACATCAGACCCTTCAGACTTGATGCTAAGAGGGGTGTCCTGAGGCTGTTGACATGTTTGGGGCATCACAAATAACCATACTATGAAATTCAATGTTTAGCCAAGTTTTCTGGCAGTGCCCACTGTGCTGCCCTTTGCTTAAGCAGCGTGCTGAGAGGTTATTAAGTATTATTAAGTATTATTAAGATCATACTTTACATATAGAATCTGGTGTCAGTGTGAGTTAAAAAGAGTCCTTCCAGCTGACTACTGGTGTAATTATCGTGGGGAAAAAGCAGAAATGCAATAAATCAATGTTACTGGTGGGACCAGTGAGACAGTGGCGAAGGTGAGCTGGTGATTGACTTAAGGGTCAGTCAGACAATTAACGGGGACTGGTTTCTGCCTCCCAGGGCACAGCTGCCACCAACAACATCTCCGCAACCCCCACGTTCCTGTTCTTCCGGAACAAGGTGCGGATCGACCAGTATCAGGGAGCAGATGCCGTGGGCTTGGAGGACAAAATCAAACAGCACCTGGAGAACGACCCTGGGAACAGCGAGGACACAGACATCCCCAAAGGATACGTGAGTGTCTCCCAGGAGTTTTGTTGGAATGCCTGGATTCTAAAAAGTCTTTGTTTTTTAAGCACCCTCCAAACCAAATAATAGGGTTTTAGGCAAAGCTGCCTCAGAAAATCACTTATGTGGACTTCCTTTTCCAGAAAAAAATTAAATATTGACATGCACGCATTTAATAAGCATGAAAATTCTCCTTAGTCATTAAAATAATTAATTTTATGTTTATCACAAATAATTACATTATTGATAGTTAAGCAATACTCCCCCCTTTTAAGTGGCTTGGAGCACGGAGAGCTGGGAACATAAGACTAAACTGGGATGGATTTTCATTAAATTGATTCTAACTCCAGGCCGATGCCTGTGTGTGCCTTGTGCTCTTGTTCAGCACAAATACATTTGGAAGTTCTCCCTGTGGCAAGTTCCTGGTTCTTGGGATGGTAGGTGGCTCCAGGGATGCAGGATTTAAGGGATGACTCCCACCAGTAATCCCCGTGTTGTGTTTGTGCAACCCCTGCGCCGTGTGGGACTTTCGTGCGGGGGCTGAGCAGCTTCTGGAGCCCCTGGCCCGCTGTCAGCACGCTTTGCCTGTGTTCCCAGATGGATTTGCTGCCGTTCATCAACAAGGCCGGGTGCGAGTGTCTCAACGAGAGCGACGAGCACGGCTTCGAGAACTGCCTGCGTAAAGACCCCTCCTACCTGGAGTCCGACTGCGACGAGCAGGTGCGGCACGGGGGCACACCAGGGCAACGGGGCACGGGGGTTATCCTGGCATTGCGGGGGCGTGCAAAAAACCCGGGATGCAGAGCTCATTGCAGCTTCGCACACTGCCAGAATCCCGGTCGGAAAAGCGCTGGCTGGTATTTAAAGCGTGTGGGTAGAGGGAGGTGACCACATGGTTTTACTGCAGAGCTCCCTTATCCCTATTTCTTGTGCTAAGTAAGTTGGTGTTTAGGTGAAGAAAACAGTGTTTAATACAGGGTTTTTTGGTTTGTTTCCCTCCACAGCTGCTTATCACTGTCGCTTTTAGTCAGCCTGTCAAGCTTTACTCGATGAAACTTCAGGGGCCAGACAATGGTGAGTGAAGGGTCTGGGAGTTGGATGTGGGACAAATATAAGGAATTGTTATACTTTTATGTGCAAGCATAATTACTATCGTTTTATACACAAATATAAGTATTTTGAACGTTTGATACACAAATATTAGTGTTCGATGCACTGCAAAGAGACTTGTGGATTTAACTCGAGGATTAAGGTGAGAGCAACTGAAAGATGAACCTTTTTTATAGTCACTCACTTTACGTTATGAAATCACGTCAAATTCATAATTAGGTGTAGTTTTGGGATATGATATCCAAATGGAATCCCACCGCTCTCTTTTAACCCAGGGCAAGGGCCAAAATACATCAAAATCTTCATCAACCTGCCGCGCTCGATGGACTTCGAGGAGGCGGAACGCAGCGAACCCACCCAGGCCCTGGAGCTGGGCCCGGAGGACATCAAGGAGGATGGGATCATCCAGCTCCGCTACGTCAAATTCCAGAATGTCAACAGTGTCACTGTGAGTCCCCTTCTCCGAGGGCTGAGCACAGGCTGGAAACCACGGCCTTCTGCACCCTGGAGGGGGAAATCCCCCCGAGTAACTCAGGGGCTGCCCAAACAGCGTGACATGGATGTTCATTCCAGTGAATACTGGAAAGGGTTGGACTTGATGATCTCAGAGGTCCATTCCAACCCATCTGATTCAATGACTCTATTCTACTGAGCTGGGACTTCTCAGAATCCAGTTTTGCTTCCTCATTGTGGCCTCAGGGTGGGGAAGTGGAAGCTGGGAAAATCCCAGCTGGGTGGGGTTTTGACAAACTACCAGGAAGACATGAGCATTCTATATATAACTATTTAAATTAGGAGGCCAGGAGCTCATCTAAGTGTTAGAGACCTTTATAATTGGGGAAAAAAGTGTTAATTCGGTTAATTTTCTCAAGCACCTCATGTTTTATATATTAAGTGAGGGATGGAGAGTTTAACTCCCTTTTTTTTTTGGCTCTTTCTTTCCTGTTCAGTTGTTTGTCCAGTCCAATCATGGTGATGAAGAGACAACACGAATCACATATTTCACATTTATTGGCACTCCAGTGCAAGCCACGAACATGAACGACTTCAAACGAGTAAGCCCTATTCTTAAACCCACTTCTTACAAGGTTTTGGTCATTCACTTTGTAAGAATCAGTGGTAAGAATGTAAAGGTGAAAATTTGAGGGGCTGGCAAGGTCTAAACACCAACAGCAATATCATTTTTTAACAGCTGAGATTTATATCTTGGTTTTGGGACTCCCTTTTTTGAACCTTTAACATAAAAGGTCTTATTTTAAAATAAACTGCTTTAAAAATTAGCAGCCTTCGAAAAATGCTGCTGCAAACTCCTGTGGAGGTGACAATAACACTGAGAGCACCACAACTGATGTTACAAATAAACTTTAATTTCAGAAGGTTAAAGCACTAACACCAACGTGGCACCCACTGAATTTATAACAGCAAAATTTGACCTTAACATAAAACTGGATTTCTTTGCAGGTAATAAATAGGTTTAACAGGCTTTGCTCCCTTTCACTGCAACTCAGAGTCATTAAAAAGTTGTTCTAATGAACTAAAATTCACTTAATCCAGATTGCAGGCCTTCCTCATTCTTCCCAAGCTCCAAACCTGGGAGTTGCTTTGTTGGTTTCTGTGGCTTTTGAAACTGGAAAGGAGAACATGTCTGTGGACATGTACAATTCCAGTACTCCTGGAATTGTGCTGGGCAGGTCAGGATGGGAAAGGAGTGCTCACAAATAGAGGAGCAGGGCTGGATTACGAACTGGCTGATCTGTCCCACTCAGATCCTCATCAACACTGCATATAACAGTCCTGTTTTCCTTCCTGAACATGGAGTCTGGGGAGGAGGGAAGTCTTTTAGAGCGATGGAAAATAGGGACACCAGGGAGGAAGGTGCTGCTTAGGCCCATGGAGAGTAGTGGGAAGAGCCACAGATAAATACTGACAGGGTGGGGGATATGTTTTGTCCCCTCTGGAGTAAATTCCGTGGTTCTCCTCAGACCTGCCTGTTTGCACTACACGTTTTTACACCTTTTGCTGCTGCTTTGGTTCTTGTAACGCTCCTTCTGTTTGTTTTCCAGCTTAACTCCCCATTCCCAAAGAACTAAAAGGGCAGAAGAAATTAAAAAGTAATAATGGGATTGGTGTGGCCGCGCACTCCTTCCCTGCCTCCCTCTGCTCAGCTCCCGCCCTTCCCACAATCCCAGCACCTTCTCCACCTCCCACCTCACCAGCTCAGCTTCCCCCTCCTCTCCCTGCTCCAAATCATTCCTTAAACACTTCACTTGTGCAGATTCTGCCCTGGTTTTACCCTGAACTTGACATTTTAAGGTCACACCAAAGAGTCCTTGCCCAGAATTTTGTGGGGCTGGTGGAGACGCTCTGCCAGGGCTCCTTTGTAATATCTTAATGGAAAGCAAGGCAAATGGAATTAAACCCACCTACCTGTGGGTCTAATGAACATTTCATGTGGGATTGTGGGGTGGGATGGGCAGAAAACAGGTGGGGTTTGAGCTGAGATGCCAAAATATCCATATCCATGTGCTGGGTTTTCCAGATAATTCACATGGGCCACTTGTCCCTCTCTGACTCCGACTGGTATCGAACATTTTTGTTGGTATTCCATACTTCCTAACACCTAATCCTTAATCTTTTAACTCTGGTTTTCCTTTTTCTTTTCCTGATTTCTTTGCCTAATCTGTGTGTGGACACAGTTTGGAAGCACAGCAGGGATAAATTTTGCTCCATGATAAGTTTAACTGTATTGTTTTAACTGGATTAATTGACTTTATCTGATTTTGTTCTTCTTCCCTCACATTGCCAGGTTGGAATATTCCCGCCTTTGAGCATTAGGTTGAATTTCCAGTTGGAAATGCTCCTGATTAGGGATTCCTTGAGGTGAAAATGGGAGAGAATTCCTCCCTGTCACAGTTTGACAAGGAATTAAAAAGGGGAAGGAGGAGGAAAAATGCTTCCAGTGGGTCCAAGGATTCAGGGCTGAGGGGGTTGGGGTTTTTTTGGAATACCTGTGAATTCCTGGATTGTTGTACAGGTTTGAGCTACATTACAAGGTCAGTATTTTCGGGGAAGCCCATGGAAAGGATGCCAAGGAAAGGAGCAGCCTCAAATTGAGCATCCAGGGTTTTTTTTTCCCCACTTGAATATTTGATGGAGTGTGTTAAGGTTTAATGCTTGACATGTAACCTGGATTTTGGAGTGTTCTCTCGCAGTTCCCATCTCCTAACGCCTCCCAAAATAGCCTTGCTGTGTTCAACACTAAACAGAAGGGTTTGTGTGTGTTCTCCATCCCTCCTAAGCCCGGGAAGGATTCCCATCCCTCTGGGTGCTCCCATAACGCACGCTCCTGGATTCACTCCCTGGGGATTGAGTTGCACTTGGATTTACCCGAACCAAAAAAGTCCTGCCCAGGGGGTACGAAACATTATTCCTATTTTTTTCCCCTCTTCCAGGTAGTTGGCAAAAAAGGAGAGAGCCACTAGGAAGCAAAGCCACTGGAAGGCCTTATCCCAGTCCGAGATTCCCCCTTTCCTCTCTGACTCCTGGATAATTGCTTGACCATAACCAGAGACTGTCCGTTTGATTTACTGCCATTTCCAATAAATCATTGCTTTGAGCTGGAGTGTGTTTCTGGTGTCCTCCTCCTCCATGGATTTGTAGATAAAATTCCTGATTTGGGCCATGCTGAATTTTGTTATTCCAACAGTTGTGGCTCTTTTATTCCATTGGAACCTCCTGACTCCAGTGAAAAGCTCCACAGAAAATGCTTGCTCAGAGTTTCTAATGTCAAACACAAGAAATCTGAGTTACTTTGGATCCTTATTGCCACAAAATACAGCTAATTCTTGGATAGGAGGAACTTCACCTGTTTAATTCCCATTTCCCTCCCAAATCAGAGCAGAGGAAGCAGATATAAAATCTTGACTTCGAAGAAATTCCTGAGTCTTCCAAACTGGTTTTTTAAATATTATTAGAAATGCCTGCCCTTGTTTCCCGAGCAGGCTGGGATTTAGATGTTGTTCCTGATTTATTTTATTGGATGTTTTCCTTCTCTCTGGATCTCAGTATGGAAATATTTATTACAAATATTAATTTTCCATCTTAATTGGAATTTTTATACTACTTAGGGCATACTTCCAAGAAAACTTACTAAATTAATGTTAATAAATCAGGCATTGATCAGCACCATATCCATAGAATTCTCTGAATTCCCAAGAAAACTTACAAAGAGTTTAATTGCCATAATTAATCTCTTTGTTCAGTTAAATCTACTGCATTTTTAATTACACAAATCCCATTAAAACTTAAATCCTGGCCTAATTGCTGTTCCTTGGACACAGTGGGGTGGTTCTTCTGCCTTGGCACGTTTGGATGTTCATCCCAAGTGAATTTCCTGCTAAAATAGAAATTTTTTTTTTTCCCAAAGAAAACCGGGAATTCTCTAGAAAATGGAATTTTCTGAGGGGCACTGTTTTGTTTTCACTCTCACTGCATATTCCAGGATCCTCATGGAGCCGTGTTAGTCAATGGCACACGATGACAGCTTGACTCCTCATTCCTTACTCCTTTGTTTCGAGGGATGTAAGACGTGGAACTGTAAATAGAAATAAACCATTTTTAATACGAATACCTTCCCGTTCCTGACTCTGTGCACTCCTCCCCTCCGGATTCTCGGGGAAAGGCCTCGGTACGGGATGTCCTCGCTCGCTCCCGCCTGAGTTCTGTGCCGGGTGCAGTGACTGTGGTGGTGTAAAGCTGAGCGAAACGTGGAATGTTTGTTATTTCCAGCGCCTCCCTGCCCTGCCGCCGCCGTGCTCGTGGATTTCCTGGACGGCTCGGCTGGGCTCGTGTCCTGCCTGGGGCCGCTGCCCTCCTGCCCCCGGCTCACCTGAGCATCCAGCTCCGAGGGGCCGCGGTGTCTTTGGTTTACCTGGGGGTTTGTGTTCCCGGGGGGGCTCGGGTTGGTTTGGGGCGGGTTGGCCTCAGGCCGGAGCCGCGCGGGGCGGCGGAGCCGGGGGTCCCTCACAGCGGCCCCTCAGCGGCCATGGCCGCGTGCTCCCTCCCGTCCCGCGCGCTCCCTCCCGTCCCGCTGCCCTCCCGCTCCTGCTTCCCTCCCGCTCCTGCTTCCCTCCCGCTCCTGCTTCCCTCCCGCTCCGCTCCCCTCCCCTCCCGCTTCCCTCTCGATCCCGCTGCCCTCCCGCTCCGCTCACCTCCCGTCCCGCCGGCTGCTGAGAGGGGTCCCTGCGCCGCCTTCCCGCCCGACTGCCCCGGCAGTTCCACACGCCGCCGGCAGGTGGCGCTGCGGCCCCGGCCGAGCCGCGCGGGGAGCGGCCGGGAATGCGCGCGGGATGCGCGCGGGATGCGCTCGAGCTGATGCGCGCGGGATGCGCGCGGGATGCGCGCGGGGACACGCGTGTCCCCACCCGGGGCTCGCAGAGCCTCGGCGCGAACCTCTGGGGCAGGAGACCCCAAAACTCCTCGTCCCGGAGCTGCGCCTGGAGCTGGGAAGTGCGGCCGCAACGCCCTTGCTGTTCCCAACTGGAAAACGAGAACGGGAAAAGAACATCTCAATCACCTAAAAACTGTGTTAAATCCAGGAGAACCTGTCTGTGGGGCACTGGGACAGCTTTCCCAAAGAAATGTTGTTTTTTCTGGTTTTTTCCTCATATATAATTTAGCTGTAATCTGGATTTTAATTGATTAATTTTAATCCTCCCCTTTGTACAGATTAAGGAACTTGTCCCTTAATTCCTCACGTGTGTCCTGCAGCAGCTTGGATGCGAATGCGGGGGGGAATCAGGAGCTCCACGACTCCCCTTTAACTAATAAGACTTGATAATTGATTAATTAGGACATGATTAACTTAAGGATATTATTGGGAGCACTGTGTGAGTGCATATATATTTAGGGAATACACGTAGGGAATATATTTAGGGAAAGGTGAGCCTATACACAACTTGCTCCACCAGAATTCCCTCAATCAAGAAACGCTATTTAGGATTACATTAATGCCACTCATCCCATAATTACAGAGGGTTTCAAATGTCATATTCCTGGATTGGATACTAATGGTGCTGAGGAATCTGCAGCTGGTGTTGGACGGAAGCAGAACCAGCCCCTGGAGAGTGGGAAATGGCAGGAACTGCCTCAAATCTCCACGATTATCCCATTAATCACATTTGCCTCCAGGAGTACCTCAGTTCTAAGTCAAAGTGTTGTTTTTCCCTTGGTGTGTCCCATGTGGAAAAGCCTCCAACTGAAAAATCCAATTGGAAATTGAGGAGCAGGGATTTGCGGAGCTTCCCAATTTCTCCAGACACTAACAATCACCTTCCATGGCTTTCCTGAGCACATGGCCAGGCCAGACTTGGGCTCTCTCCTTGTGCCCCCCCAAATCTGAGTTATTCCCTAAATTCCAAATGCTTGACAGCACATGCAGAACTTCCAGAGCATTTCGCACTTTTTTCGCCCCTAAAATTTTCACTGTAAGAATTTTGGAAGGATTCACAAACAAACTGGAAAATAATTGCTTTTCCACTTAATTTGAGGATTGCATTTTTTCCTGTCAAAAATCACATTTAATGGCCAAAATACTGCAATTCCATCAGGTCACACCTATGCTTTGAAACTGAAATATTTGTGATTGCATGGCACGAATGTTTTCAGTGTTTAGATTTTTCTGAAGGCTTTTGTTTGCCTGAATTCTCCCCCACCAGACCTGCATTTCCTAAATTCCTGGAGTCGTGGAGGTTGAACTCCAGGAAGGCAGCCGTGTGTCACTAACACTGTGTTATTAACACTGGGGGAAATCTCCAACTTGCAGCATCTTGCCAAAAACCAGGCAATAAAAATCTCTCCGGCACTTTTCCTCCCCTTTCAAAGGTGTATTTTTCTCCCTGCATGGGCTCAGGCACAGAAACACACACCACAAGCACACCATTCCCTGGCAAAATGCTGGTTTTCCCCTTAAATGAACTTCTAGGAAATATTAATTAATTTTCCTCACTTTTTAAAAATTCTTCTTTCATTTTTCCTGGTTTGTGTCTCTGTAAGCACAAAGTCCTGTGTGGGGATGGAGGTTTCAAGGGAAGCACAGGCATGGGATCGTCCTCTGCTCGTGGATCAGGCACCAAAACACCTTTTATCCTGCAGAAATGGCATTTCCATTACCAAACATTAACCCAAATCCAACCAATAATCCTCATCCTGTGATTGTCCAGCCTTGCTTTACACACATTCCAGGCTATGATTCCTTCAGTGCCAAACTGATTTAGCCGTGGAGCTGCTTCTTGAGCCAGGAAAGGTGGAGAAACCCAAGCGTTCTTCAGGTGGCTCCACTCCCAGGCAAAGCGTGCTGGGATTTGATCCCACAAAAGCAATTCCTGCAAATTATCAGTAGCTTTTAACAAGGATGCTTTTTTAACTCACAGGATCAGCTCCCAAGTAACTCATCCCAAAAGGAACAGGGAATTTTAGGTGGTTTCTCTGTGTACCCCATTTTAGTGTCAAAGGATAAAGAGGGAGACAAATGTTGGGGGTGTTTTGGTAAAATTCCCCCCATTTTTGGCCACCAGAAATGAAAGGTTTCCCACCCTTCCAAGGCAGCTCCTAGGGGAGGGAAGATGAGTCCCCCCACCCAGGTCTGCTCAGAGCACACAGCAGCTCCAATTGCACAGCTCAATATTTCACAGAAACAATATGTTCTCCCAGTTTAATTTTCCTGGGCAAAATGGCTCTTTAAAGGAATTCATGTGGCAGTATTTCCCGAATCCGAGGAAATTAGAGCTACATGCATGTGACTGCGATACATTACATTTATTATACCTCATCTAGGTAAATCGGAGCTAATTCCTCAGCTTCCAGATCAGTTATCTCCTGGCACTTTGCTTTTATATCAGATCTTCCATTCAGAGGTTTATTTGTAGCTATTGTGGCATTAATTTAACTGCAGTTCTATTCAAGAATTTATTATTGTTACACATTCGTATTTATCAATATTATTTCTGGGAAGGATGGGAAGCAGAGAGGTCTGGCAGGTTTCAATTATAAGTATTTTAGGCCCAGTTTAGGTGGTTGGATGCTGCTAGATCTGTCTCCCAGGCAGCCTCGGGGGGGGGGGGCCTGAATCCTCGTGTTTGTGAGCCCCTGATGTGCCCATCCCAGTGGGATCCGCAGGATTCCCACTGGATCCCAGAGCAGGACACAGTGACAGCTCTCCTGGGCAGGGGGCTAGGCTGGGGGCTGTCAGCTCCACCTCCAGGAAAGGGGCTCTGCTGCAATTTTCTGCAGTAATTAGTCTCTCCGTGAGTTTTTAGTCTCCGTGTCATGTTGGGAAGGCAACATGTTCGACAGCGGTACCTGCCGGGGGAAGGAGCCGTGTGCTGGCATTTTTCATTCCAGACAGCAGAAAAATGGGATGTGAAACTCGGCAACAGTCGGGGGCACGGTGACTTCCAGTGACAACGAAGATCCGAGCAGTTGGCAAGTGTCAAACTGCGGCTCCTACCTTTTCCTTGGAGTTTTGGGCTTTGGAAGCCACAGGCAGGTGATGCTTTGCTGCCAAAACCACCTGTGGCTGCCCCAGGCATGGGGAAAACTGGGCACTGGAAAACCATGGGCAGGGAAAAGGGTTGCACAACCTTGACAGGATTCCATCCTGTGCTTAGGGATGGGAGTAAATCCATCAACTTCAGGACAAATAACTGCAATTAATTAAATTTCAGCTTGAGAATTGCACTGGCTCTTACTGTTGTAAGTGAAATAAGGACAAATGTTTAGGGATTTTTTTAACTACTGAGTGAATCTTATCAAAAAGGGTCATTTCCAGCTGGTGGTGGGGCTGGGGAGGGACAGGGCAGACCCCTCTGGAGCAGCTGCTGCTGCAGATCCCACTGGATGTGCTGCTGGATGGGCTCAGCGTCTCTAGAGCTCGATGCAGACCAGGCTCTTCACACCTCGGAGCAGCCACGGGCTCCAGAGCTGGGTTGGACCATGGTGGGTCCACTCTGGAGCTCTCCCTGTGGGAAGGGTGGCTCTTTCCTGGGACTGTCCACGGCATGGCTGGAAATCATCTTGGAGCTTCTCATCCATCACCCCCAAATTGTTCAGGAAGTTCCAGGACAGCAGGAGCAGGAACAGCATCTGTTCCTCCCCGCTAGAGCCATGGTGATGGAATGCCAAGGATGGAGCTCCTGCCTCACTTCCCGCTGTCGGGAAGCCAAGGTGGGATGGGGTGGATGGAAGGAAGGGCCGGCAGCCTGGGAATGGTGGGATGGTGGGTGCAGCCCCCCCTTCATCCCACAGAGCTCCCACCAGCCAGCAGGGGCTCTCCCGACTGCTTTTGTAGGGACTGGGACAAGGGCAGTGTTTTCCCAGCTGCAATTCCAGTTCTAAATGGGAAAAATGTGAATTCCCACCCAAAGGCACAGGACAGGACACCTCTCCCTCAGCAGCCCTGCCCATGGCAAAGACAGGACAAAGGCATTGCTTCCCATTGGGAAGCATCCTGAAATGCGGTGTAATACTGCTGTTATAAAGGATGTGGAATCCCACAATCTGGGATACCCTTACACGCTTTATGGAAGTTAACATCCCACGTGTGTCAGGGCTTGCAGGATACTGCTGTTT